AGTGTGGCGAAATGATGCCAATTCTCAGGTTGCGGCTCATTCGACGAGACCCCAGCCACACATTAAAATTTGATGAGGCCGAAATTCTTGCAAGAAGTGACAATCGAGTGAGCCGAGAATTACTTGAGTCATGGTTCACGGGCCCCCAGTTGATCATTAAATGCAACGATTTGCCCAATCCATATTCAATGCTGAGACTAAATTTGGCCAAGCAAGTCGCCGCTCGGGGAACAGACAAGCTACTACATCATCCTATGCCAACACCGCAGGGCCAGATAGTCATTGCTGACGCAAGGAATGAGCGCACACTCAAAGTATTTATCGATTTTTTCTGTAAGTTTAAATTTTACGGCAAAACCCTGTGCACACACTAACTGTTTCTGCCACTGTTCTGTTAGTATATCTCTGATGATGAATCCGCGGCGGATGTCGAAACGTCAGGTGAATAAACATATTGTCCCATCTTCTACTTCTACCGCAGTATTTTCAGAACGTAGTCCTATTTCCCGCCCGCGAGTTGGAAGCACTGCCTAGGGTTGAATAGCATTCACAGGCGCCTGTCGAAATTTCCTGTGAGCTACAGCTTTGTTATATTAAAGGGATACTTCTCAAATTAACCTGGAAAGTCTACAGAATCACATGTAGATCTCTCTCTATGGCTGCGGGCCTTGCTGTTTTGGGGCTACGATAGGGTGGGGCGGAGGCAGTAATTCAGGACCTACGGATGCCTCCTACTTTGAAGTAGGCCGACGGGCAATAACGCTTACGCTGGTGTGGTCACTGTGTTTATTGCAACTAGACGGAGATACAGTCAGCGAATAGATGCCAGAGTAGGGCAGAACGAAATAAAGTTATCCACTGGACTCATTTATGTGTTTGGGGGGAGGGGTTGGGACAGCCAATGGGTTGCTTAGGAGTTCTCGTTACGATCTTGGTCATTTCTGGTCTGTCAAGCCTAGACACGGCGATGACGGCGTATTGTTCCTCACCATGAGTGACATTCTATGCCGATGTATCTGCGGTTGAATGACTTTCAGATCACATCTTTTTTCAGTGTTTACTTTCCGTGACCTTTGCTTTTGCGATGTACTGAAACGGCTCGTCTTCTCTGAAGCCTGATCTGGCGTAACTATTTCATTTCTGGGAATTTCTCATATGGCACAACGTATATGCTTTGGCTCACTTGTGCATAGATTTCCCAAATTAACTATGGTCACACTTCTGTTCAGTGCTTTATTTGGCAAACATGACTTGTATAGCCGCCTAAACAAGATACGCTAACATGAACCCTCCGCAATACCTGTGACTTTGCGACAGCTTCGTGACAAATCAGGCTTATGATTAAGGTGACGGTTAGGGTTAAGTTTTGGACTAGCTTTAAGGTTCAGGTAGGGTTGGTGATTAGGATTAGGGTTAGTGTTCGTGTTAACTGTAGGGGTGAGGTTTATGGTTAGTTCAGAAGAAGATGATGATTATTATTGTTATTATTATGAAGATGATGATGATGATGATGACGACG